AGAAGATTTTTTTCATTTTAAAATTTATGGAAAAAAGTGCCTATAGATTAAAAATTATGTAAAAAATAAAAATAAAAAATATTATTTTTACTTTTTATTATAATCTTAATATATAAACATACGTAAATAATTTTATAAAAAATATTTAAACAATTTTAAATAAAAATTTTCCCTACCAAACACCCCTAATTGTTAAACAGTACAAGGATGGAAATACCAAAGTTGCGCTTTTCTTAGACTTTTCCATCCTTGGTCCGGGTGTTGAATCATTGCACCCTTTAAATCTGTTTTTGTTAAAAGAAAACAGGTTAAATCTCTTTTTTGGTCTCTTAACTATTGTACGGATTCTCGATTTGGTCCTTAAATTAAAAAAAATTCTTGATTTGGTGCTATTGTTTACCAATTTTACCCAATTTGGTCCTTCTGTTAAAAATCCACTGTTAACTCACATGACTTAATGACATGAAAAAATTTTAAGACACGTAAGTTGTATAAATGGACAAAATGATGACATGGTAATATGACATGTTATATTCTTGTCTTATACCAAAAAAAAAAAGTGGGACCTACCAAAATTACAATTTTACCCTCATCTTCTTCCTCCCGCCTTCTTTTTCTCAAATCTTCTCTTTCATTCTTCTTTTTCTCTCTATGCCTCCTCTGAATCCACTTTTATCACCATTCTTCATCAATCAATTATTCATCATTATCATCAAATAACAAAACCCACAAAAAAATAGAAAATCTTTTTAACTTTTTGCACAAAACAAAAAATTTGTTGGGTTCGAACTTAGCAGCCATTGGGTTCCAACCGCCTGAACCTAGGTGTATTGGGTTTGAACCCAACAGCCACTGGGTTCCAACAGCTAGAACCCATGCGTTCAAACCCAATAGCCATTGAGTTTCAACCACTGGAATCCACGCGTTCAAACCCAACGATCGTTGGTTTCCAATCGCTGGAACCCAAGTGTGCTAAGTTCAAACCCAACGGCCGTTGGGTTCCAGTGGCTGGAACCCACGCGTCCATGCGTTCGAATGTAGCAGCCGTTGGGTTCGAACGCGTTGGTTCCAGCTGCTAGAACCCAGGCGTGCTGGATTCGAACCGAGCGGCTGTTGAAACCCACACGTTCGCAAACCCTGCACACCTAGGTTTGAAACCCACAGGTTCGAACCCAGTGACTAGAACCCAAGCATGCTGGGTTCAAACCCAACTACTGCTAGGTTTGAACACTTAGTTCAAAAGATCCTAGAACCCCAAGGGGAAAGACAAAGGGAAAGAGAAGGAAAAAAAAAATTAAGAATTTTTTTTGTCATATTAATATTTTTTTACCATATCATTATTTTTGTCCATGTCAGCTATGTTATCTCTCCATGTGTGTTTAATGCTTTGCCATGTCATCATATTGCCATTAATTAACATGACACCTCACATGATTTTTAATGGAAGGACCAAGTTGTGGTAAAATTAATAAACAGTAAGGATCAAGTCAGGAATTTTTTAACTTTAGAGACCAAATCAGAAGTCTATACAATAGTTGATGGATCAAAAAGAGGATTTAACCAAAAAAAATATTTTTTTTTTGAAAGAGTGATAATTAATACATATGGTAAGTGTAATAAGGAATGAGAAAAAGGGTCCTACAAAGCTCGAACATGCAATCAATAAAAAGTAATTTTTTAAAGGTTTTTTTTTTATTTTAAATGTACAAAATAAATATATAATAAATCTATCTTTTCATAATTAATTTTTATTAAAAATATAAATATTTATTTTCATTTAATACATTAATCAATTAAAATTATTTATGTATCAATAATATTAAAATATATATCAAATTTTATAATTTTTAATATAAACTAATTATAAAAAATTATATTTATTATATATTTAATCTGTATTCTAAAAATACAAATTAAATAAACTCTTTTTTTAATTAATGACCTTAGTCACTGGATTGGAATGTGAGAATCAAAGAGAAAAAGAATTGGACAGCTCGGAATTACGGTGGAAATGTCCAATGCCAGAGCAATTTTAGCGAGTGAAAATTTGTTGGGCCAAGGAATTGTTATATTTTTGGAGACCTTTGCTTCAGCCATTTAAAACCTTTAAAGGTATAATTATTTAGAACCTTATAGGTAAAGTTATTTAATATCTCTATAAATTATAAGATCTCCGCATGCAAAGTTTTTTTTTTTTTTTTTCTTAACATGAGAAATTATGAGAAAAGGTGGAAGTTTTCAAGTTATTTCAGATCTTAGCATGTAAAGTTATTATTGTTATTATTATTATTATTTTGAACATAATTAATTCGGGGTAAGAGGAAGTTGAAAGCGTGGGGTTCAATCCCTATGCCCTTAGATGAGTAGTCCTTTAACGATATTGAGCTGGCCACTTGAGTTACCTTCGGTTTCTCAGCATGCAAAGTTAATTTTTTTTTTTGAACATAGCATGTAAAGTTATTTAATACCTTTAAGGTTGAGTTCTTTAATGTTTAACACCTAAGTCTCTCTGTATAAACTTTAAAATTTTGCGTGCTGGGATAAAATTTGTGTTTGGGACCTCTGCACCACACAAAACTTTTCTTGGTCAACTATTTGCGTTGGGATGTCGTTACACAAAAAACGTCAATGGGCACCCACAGCTTTGATTGTTTTAATCTGGGTGCACTAAATTTTTTATAAATATCAAAATTTTAACAACTGTTGCTGCATTAGCAACTTCCCTATCTCTTTTCTCTCAAATGCCCTTGTTAAAAAATAAAAAAAAAGAAGTCAATGGGAGAAATTGAAGGAAAACAATGATCACATGGTCGAAATGGATCCCGTACAGAATTTATTGGTGGAGGCTTTAATTTAAAGGGTTTGTTTATCATCCTCTCGTGGTCTAATGGCCACAATCTCATTGTTAATGGTTTTTATGCTAATTTTAAAGGTATAGAATTCAAGTCCTACCTTTAATGTTCAAATTTTTTTTTAATATAATTTAATTTAAATTATGCTAATTTTTTAAAATCAAATTATGAATTTAAATTTTATAAATGAAAAAATAAATACTAAAAAAATTTCTTCTTATATGTTCAATATAATTCAATTTCAAATTAATTAAAATTTAATATAATCTCTCACCTTACTTAACAGAGATGACGTGCTAATTATCATAGCTCAGGTGAAATAAGTGCTGAAATTTGAAAGTGGGACCTATTAGTTTGTGCGGCAAATTTCCCAGGCAGGACCACTTCTAAATAAAGAAATAGGTTAAAGCCAACTGTAGTTCTCATACTTTGTGAAAATATTCATTATCATCCCTCTACTAAGGAAATGTTCAATGTCATCCCTCTACTTTTCTTACACCATAAATGTCATCCCTCTACTACTCTTTTTTTTGTTAGATATCATTCTTAATTGGATACCATCCATTTTGCCATTAACTTTGACTATTAATTGTCTAACAGTTAAACATTTAATTTTTGTTTACTAATTTTTATCCATTAATAGATTTTGTTAACTCTCTATTAAAGTGAGAAAAATATTTATAAGATTAATTCTCAAAGATTAAAAATGTAACAATTTAGTTCCAAAAGTTTAAAACTAAAAAAATTAATAACTTAAAAATAATTAATGAATGACTTTATCACGTACATAAAAATAATATTAGATATTTACAATTAAATCTAATAATTAACTCAATCTAACTAAGATTAAAGAAAATTTCCTAGCTATATTTTTCTAACTTCTTGAATTTTCTATCTTAATTCAATTAAGATTTATTTTAAAAAAAATTTCAATCAAAATTCTTTCTCTAAATTGAGTTAACACTCAATTTATTTATAAATATATAATACTATTTTAGTATATGTGAAAAAGTCATCTATTAGTTATTTTTAGTTTACTAATTTTTATAATTTTT